GGTCACAATCCATCTATCTTATGCTTTCACTTTTACACATATCTTATTCCAATACACCCTTAATGTACTGGAGCATATATATACTGTGTATAAAGAATCTGAGGTTCATAAGTAAAAAATGTAATGTGTTTTTAAATGCCAGTATAAAATGACTCCTAATCAGTCTCTGCACAGTTAATTGTCTCAAGATAGTCATTGGTGTAGATGTTCGGTGGGCAGTCTATAGGGATTTTCTGTTACAGTAAGACAATTTAGGGTTACCTTTCTCTTTCAAGGTGTTTTGTGTGATTGTCAGCTCCTACATCTCCTGCTCTCTGTCAGATGTACTAAATGGTTTCTGTGGAGTTTACACAACCAGAAAGCAGATCAAATGAATATAAAGTGATGCAGCATTTTCAGATTTTGATATTTCAAAGATAGAGATTTAGGAAACAGGAGCGGTAATATTGTGTTCCAGGCTCTAGGATGATGGTACTGCGCTGTCATGTTTATTAACTCTACAGAGAAAGAACTAGTTTTTACAGTTGTACTGAGAAAGACACAACACAATCAGTATCTTGGTCTAATATTCATAGTGTCTTACTCTACCTGTCGTTTGTTGCATCAGCACAAATGAAACCAACTGAATTAATTCTGAGATTTCTACATAATTTTAGCTCATCAATAAATTCTATACCATGTGTTTTTGTTATTCCAATGCATTTTTTCACTGAACTGATTTTGTTGCAGAGAGGGCTAAATTTCCTCAGCAAACTGTTTTCAGAGGCCCTCAGTGGCTAACCGGGGTTACTATTAAATCATCTGACTTTGTAAATGTTGCCCCTGAATGTCTTGTTAGCAACATTTGTCTTATATTATAGGGCCACAAATGTCAAGACTGTCAAATATAACTGTCATTGGCTTAAAAATAGTAATTCAGAGCTGAAGCAAGAATATTAAGATCCAAAAGAGGGATTCAAATAATTTCTGACCCTGGCACTGGGCCAGATGCAGAGTAGACATTCTTAACCTCAGCGTATGTGGACATTATGAGACTACATCTGAATGCATTTTCTATACAGAATTACTGACACTTGGATTTCCATCATTCTATATTGTCTTCATTTAAGGAGGCTAATTCCGATGTAATGAGTAATGTGCGACTTTCATGATGAGTCCAGAGTTTTTGGGAATTTTTGATGATGTCTGCTTTTTATCCCCCGTGTCAGTAATTATCTAAATTTCAAGATGTTGTTTGTTTGACTGTCAGAGATTTTAATGAATCTGAGGTGCGGAAAACCACATGCTTGAGAAATCCAGTGAATGCATGTGGTGCATGTGCTTTTAAGAGAGGAGCATTACTCCCCCAGAATAGATGCCATCACACTAATACATCTCTGAGAGGAAATAAAATTTAAGTGCTTCTTGTCATCATTCTAGAGAACCAATTGGGTCTTATTTCCAGAAATGCACTGAATACTTAATTAAAAGAACAGAAACGGGGCATCTACCAAAAACTGCCCTAAACAAGAAAAAAAACTTGAGACCAATGATGTGAACAGCACAAACTCAATCTTCACTAGAATCTCTGGAACTTTGATTTTATTTGATCTTTTTGTTTTTGTCTCTTTTGTGTCTTTCAGAATGTAAAATAGACAATTGTGAAGCATGTTTCAATCGCAATTTTTGCACAAAATGTAAGGAGGGCTTGTATTCACACAGTGGACGATGTTACGTAAGCTGCCCTCCAGGCCAGCGCTCTGCCAATGACACCATGGAATGTGTCGGTGAGAGACCTTTAACCTTCTACTGTTTACCAACTTCAAAACGTAACTACAGTGCCTCTGAAAGCTACCTGCTGTAATTTATATACTATACGTATCACTTCATCTGTGTGCTCACTTAAAGTCTTGAAAAACAATAACACAATCTTTTGGCTTTTCCTTTCTGTGCTTTTATTTCTGTTGAAAATTATTCTGTTATAAATTAGGAATGACAACAAACTCTCCAGGAATCTTGGCTCAATGCTGCAAAGACCTGAAGCTCTCAACTGACTTTTTGACACCACATGCTGTTCCTTCAACTTTGGCTTTGCTTGTCTATAGGGAATACAAAGGTTCTGAAGCACATAGCCATATGCTTTGGTACATTTTCAGGTTCATAGTAACTTCTTCAATCTGTCCCCCTCTAGTCAAAAAACAAAAAAGATTGCTTTCACATTTGGAAATTACTTAAACTCATCATCCTGTGCTATGACTGCTGAGCTGTACAAAACAGATAGGAAGGCTGTGAAACAAATGTGAAATGTTGGCGCATTGAACCAGTCACTCATTACCTTAGTCTTTGTTTGATTTTGTTTCCCAGGTCAGCGGCCTTCAGAGTGCGAACTGGGCGAATGGAGCCAATGGAGTTCCTGCATGAAGAAGAACAAAACATGTGGATTTAAGAAAGGCTCGCAGTCTCGGGTTCGTGTACCCCTTCCACAGGCTCACAGCCCAGACAGCTCCCCAACCTTTGTACCTTCACAGACCTGTACTTCGCAGACAGAGAGGAGAAAGTGTGTTGTGGCTAAGATGCCCTGTGCAAGAGGTAAATAAATACACTTAAGGTACAGAAAACAGATATGTACTATACAATGAGGAACTGAAATGGCTACTACTGCAAAACTACAGTAGAGTTAATAATAGTTGAAATCATATACAGCACTCAGATTACAGCTGTAAAATCCATGTGCTTCATGAAATGTTTTGGCCCATTAACATGATGACAAATAGAACTATTACTCAACATCCAAAGGGTTGGTCTGACTGAGCTCACAGAAGGATACAGAATCTCTTGACTTCTCAGCATGTAAACAAAAAACTCCACTGAGGCCAGGAGATGAAGGGCGAGCATTACGCACTGCAAAGCTGGACAAGGATCACAGTAGAAATAGCTATTTTTTTTCTGAGGGCCGTTGAAGAATGAGGTTTATGCGGCTGTGACATGTTTGCTTGGGCCCTTAGCCTCCACACAGCAGCTTGTTCTCCAAGAAGTTAACAATCATTCTAACTAGTCAATGCCTGTTATCAATTTTCTTAACAGCCCTTGGCCTCAAGGCTAATAAATGACAGCTCTGGCCAACTGGTGAACAATTGGTCCAACACAACACCAATACAAGGGGCTGTGCTGGTCAGTGGTGAGGGGTTGCAGGGGGAGTGTAATGTAGGTGTGTACGACACAGCGATGTTGTGATGAGACAATGTGAGAGGCTTCAATCACATTTCCAGACTGCAAGTTTCTGTTGTGTTTTGGTTAGACATGCTGTTCACATAGCCCCCTCTATGTTAGCACCATTCTCTACCACCAGTGCATTGGCACTGACAGATAAAAAAACACAGCTTAACATCCAACAGCCTAACTAACGAAAACGCATGGCATGTGGTTATGGTGCGTTTGCAACTGTGATCCAAATATGAGAGTGAATATAAGTGAATGGTCATGGTAACAAGGTAAACAAAAGAATCTTATTGTTCCTATTAGTGAGGCAAAAAATAAATAAAAATCATCACAATTATCAGCGGTGGTGCTGGGCTGGTAGACTTTACAAAACGTAAAGATAATGTTTGAAGCAGCCGTCCAACCCTATAAATTCAAATTACAGGATATGATCTCTCATGTACTGCACATGAAGAGTCATTAGCAAACCTCTTTGTTTCTAAATGTTACCAAATACTAATCTGAGTTTCATAAAGTGCCAATTTTTACCAAATTTGGAAACTTAAACTTATTTACAAGCACTAACAGAGCTATAAACAAGTAGTATTTAAAGGCTTTATTGGATGGTGGCACAGCAGCAACAATATTTGCATAGCGCTGGCAGCTGTACAGATGTTGCAACACAATGACATGACTGGATACATGTGAGTAAACCTGGAGGAGGCTTGCATATTCCAACACTATCCTCTACTCTTGGATAAGTCCTTTAGGGATCTGAGTCTAGAGAACAGAACATGATCTGACATTCTCCCATATAGATCTGTGGCCACGTCTAGAGGAAAGCAAGCTGGTGTGGCTCCTCAGTTGAGTTGGACAGGCTGTGAAAGCACAATTTGAGGAATGGGAAGCATGTTTACTCTGTCTGATGTCTGCGGTCTAGGAAGAATAATTAACAGTAAACTATTATGAGCTGCCCTATGTTGACCTCAAATTATCTTGGAGCATAGGTAGGTCACATGATGACATGTGAGGTGTCATCTTTGTGAATTATGAAATGGTCAACTGTTGATTGTAAGGAGAGTTTTTGTCCTGCTTTTCTTTTATGGTGATGCAAAATACATTTGTTTGAAATCAAAATGCATGTTAATGCCAAAGTGGACAGGAATGAATTTTCCTCTATGAGGTAATTCATGGGTGATGGTACCATGACTCCAGGGAACAGGTTCAAATGGGTAAACTCAGTCTGTGCAAGAACAGCACAGCTGTGGAGTCATCTGTGGAGTTGGCTGGCAGGCTAGCTATATAAAACACAAGGGGAAGACCTTGTATAACATTAGTGATTTAGTGGTCTGCAGATCTCATGTGTTGTGTTGATTTGGCTTTAAATTTTTTCCCCCTTTCCTGAAGCTCCTCATAATGGTCTCACGCGAAACAGAACTTTCTGGACGTGCTATTGCATTTGTCAGACACAACTGTTTAGCCTGGATACAAAGGAGGTGCATGCAGAGCTCTCATAGATTGATAGTGTCCCTCTCTCTTGGCACCATTAGTGATTTGCCAGAAGTAATTAAGTCCTTACACAGTAAGTACAAGAGCTCAAATGCTGCAGAGTGTGTGTGAGGACTCTTTGCTTCACTCAGGCTCCACTCTTGTTCATTGTGCTTCATTTATTAAAATTTAATTGAATGCTGCTCAATATTAAGTGCTTGTTTGAATAGTGACCATAAAAGCTCATGACTGTGTTTAATGACTCAAGACCACACATAAATTATTAACATGCTGGACATAAAATCTTCTTGTATGATTTGAGCCAACTCATCTTTTGTGATTTTGGCATTAATGGTGCTCAAGAAAAGATGTGTTATTCCTGTTTATGCACTACTGTATGAGATTGAGCCGTTTAGTTTTCAGCTGAAAGAAAAACAACTGTCACTCTGCATGGGCCTGTGGTGAATAGATGTTTTTGTCTTGGGTCTGTCCACATTCTAGCATATCAATTTTACACTCACTGTGTAGAAATGTTTTTTGGTGAAATCCGAGAAACACTGTACCTTTGGACTTTTTGCTATTTTTGTTTTTACTTTGCACTTAAACGCAAAAACCATAAGTGTTTGTACAACAAGTTTAAAAATGCTTAAAAAGAAATAAACACAGACCTACAGTTATTGCTGCATAGCAGAAGACAAACATGGTGGCGCCATAAGCCCTGCTATTGTCAGCTGCGTAGTGAACACTGCCCAGCTCTTGGCATGTGTTCACTCAGTTTCCAAGATGTGCAGAGACTCTCAACACACAAGTTCATAACAAACTCCTCCAGTATAACTACACTCTCTCACATATACAAAACCAAATACTTTTGAGTGCTGCCTAAACAATAGTCATCTGATACTAGACACAATGTCCATTTCCACTTTGTGACAGCTCTTCATGTCCTTATGGGCCATTACTGGATACTTGACAGTGTTTGGCCCATTAAATCAGAAGTGATCTAAAGTTTATTTATGTGACACGAATTACTGTCACTTGTCTGTCCTGAGCGCCCTATACATGTGCTGCATTTTAAAATCCACAGCAATACTACGCTTTTACCTTTCTTGAATGGGTTATTTGTGGACATTAACCACACCATGATGTATATTACACTCTTAAAATGTGTGACGGGTGTGAATCCTAATGTAAGAGTACCATCAGAAAGGAGACTAGGGAGATTTGTGTGTCTGTTTAGTAGGACAAGGGACTGAGTAGCTTTTGAAATAGAAAAGATTAAGGGGGATGTTTAGTAAGCCTGTCCCAAATTACCATCAGGTGTGCAAAATATTGTAGTACTGCAATTTAGTAACATATTTACCAACATGTAAATGAGCACAGCTGCAGCAGTGCTAATCTGAATACACCTCTACTTACGATCTATTGCCTGTAGGCTATTGCTCACATGTGGACTGAGAAGAAGCATAAAAGAAGTTTACAGCGACTGAACTTCTAAATGGTTGAAGAAAATAAACATATTTTGGCACTGCAATCACATAGTGTTCTGCCAGTCAAATCATCCTTTATTACTCTCAGTAATTGAAGCATGGTGTGTTCTGAAAGCCTGCATAAATCCCTCACATTGTCCTCTGGTGATTGATGTGATTTACAAACATCCTCTCCCTTCTCAAACGTGTTCTCAACTCAGACGAGGTCTCAGATGACTAACAGGTGCCATGCTGAGAACAGTGACGTAAATTTTACACCTGCTCTCTCCTGACATTAAATTTCAGTCATGGTTTCCTCTGTCACAGTGGTGGTAAATCAGGTGCTGAGAATATTTGTATACATTTCCATTCTGTCCTCCATTATTTTTGGATCCCAGAATGGAAAAGTCTTAA